CATTCTATGATTCTATAATTTTATCTCTTTCATTTAAAATGAAAAGTTGTACAACAACCTGAGATCTATGTATGGTATGTACTGGGTATGCACTTACATTTCACTTTCATTTCCAGAGAGCTTTTCAGGAGAGTATGAGGTGGTGAGTTTAATTACTATCTATAGGAGGATGACAAGCTAAATATAAGGAGTGAGCCCACGTTACTTATAGGCAACATTTTGTGAAATTACTTCCTCTTCATGTTTTTTTTTCTAGAATTCCCACTGGTATTGTCAAACAAAAGTTTTGGTCCATTTTTTTTTTTTCAGGTAAATGCCTGAAGAATTTTCTTAGGATTATTTGCAGTGAACTTAGAGAAGGAGTATGTTAGCTTACTCTTTGATTTGTATCTGTAAGTAGGAAATGGGTCATTAACAGAATAGATATATGAAAATATTTATATTCCTGGACACCTAATATGTTGAATATTTACTGATGCTAATTCTCTCCCTTGCTTCTCATCATTCTACCCCATACAGAATTGAAGACAGTTTTGTTGAAGTTGGACTGGATAGGATTTTTCTTGTATCTGCTTCTTAGTAGAAAAGTTAAACACAGTCATACAAGCAGGAAAATAAATGGAGACAGAATCCAAATGTTCTTTTTGATGGTTCCTTTCAAATCTTTTGACTATGAGAAACCAGTCTTCAAGAGAAAGTTCACACAACTAGTAAATTAGGCAGATTATAGAGTAATTTAAAGTAACATTTAATGGGCTGCTAAACTGCAGAAACAACACTTAGAATTGCCTTGATTAGTTAACATATGCAAAGGAAGTTGTGTTAACAGAAATTTCAGCCTGAGCATCCTTTGGCCACTGCATTTTTTCAAGGGTGTCCAGAGAAACCTCCTGAAGGCTAAGACAGCTAAACAGGAACTGCAAAGTAAGTTAATCCTTATTTTCTGGATATTCTAAATTGGTATAGGAGTATATATCTAGGAGTATACTCCTAGGAGTATATTCTTTTATCCTTTTGATTGGGTTTGTGTCTGTAGGAGTTCTGCGTATAAGCTCAAGGCAGCACATAACCCTGAGAGTCCTACTTACCTCTTCAATTTGTTACATGAATAATCACATTGTTACAATGAATACAGACCCTTTCTACAAAAAGATGTAAATCATTATTAATTCCATGACAACACTTCACATGAATCACATTGAATACTTCATCTATTAAAATAGCTGTAATACACAGTTGCACTGGAGACCAATTGTAATATAGTTCTTATTTATTAAAGTCCACTTCTGGCCAACATGTCCATGTGTATACCAAATAGATTACTAATGCTAATGCTCTAGACATAGCATGTCTCTGGCATAGCTGAATGTTGGTACTCAGTCGTATTCTAAGCCTTGGCTATTAAAACCATAATAACATCAACTAAAGCTTTACAAATTCACATACCATATGTATTGTCACAGAGTGATACTGTTTTATGACTTGAATAAAGTGGTTAAGAAAAAGAAAAATTAGTCACTTGAAGAAGTAGGACTCGAAATTAAAGAGTAAGATAAAGAACAAAATGAAAACAGCTTTCTTTTAAGAAAAAAAGAGTTACTTAGTATTATCTCTAAATTATTTAGGCTTAGCATCCCAAACTTTCAAAATATGCAGAAAAAAATTAAGCACTAGATTATCAGGGGTTTTTTGTTCTCCACAGCTCTATGCTAATCATTGTGCTAGAGTGTGAACTGACTTTTTCCTCCTGTTATGAGCAACCAAAGTCTTTGTTCTGAGAATGATCACATAATTACACAGAAGATTAAAGAATTCCCATGAATAATTTGTGCTCATTTCTCCCTGTTAAACCCATTTAACCCAGTTGAGCATGCCTTGCTGACTTGCTTCAGAGACTCACATTTTCATTAGAAAAGTAGAATATTCACCCTCCCCTGCAGCTGATAACTTTTTCTGGCTTATCTTGTTGCCTAAACATTTCCCTGAACTTGACCAGCTCTTTTCCAAAGCAGAATCATTTGGCATTGTTCATAAATAAACTATAAAAGTGAAAATTAACTCCTTTTATGATGACCTGGTAAAAGAAAAGGTAAATCTTTAAAAATTCATCGAGCTATCAGAATGGAAAATTCCTTCTAGTAGCTGGAATCAATGTTGGGAGATGTATTTTAACTTGTGGTCCACGGAGGGCCAGAGAACTGAAAGAAATTCATTGTCACTTCACAAGCTACTCTAGTTTACCTCCTACATCTAATTTTCACCACCTGAACACTAAATCAAGTTTCATGTTCCTGTATCTAGGCTGAATGCTATATTGCTTTTTGGCTATATTAAGATGAGGGCAAAAAATGTAATTTTATAATAAAACAGTAAACATGCTGTAAATTCTTGGTGTGTTTAAGGTTATGTTTTGAGCTATTCCTCTGCCCTCCTTTGAGATGCACCTTGTGTATTGTAATAAAAATAAAATGAAAACCTACCAAGAATAATATGGTCTACAGTTTATCACATCTTAGTAGTCATGTACAAATATCCTGTAGAAAAGTGCACCTCTTCTTTTTAAGAGCAGGAAATATATCCCTAAGAATGATTATAACTGCAGAAGGTAAATTAAAATCCAGATATGAAGATAAACTTGCCTGACATTTGTGGAGGTCTGTGGATGGCTGCTGCAGGAACATGCACATTATGGCCACCCTTCTGGTCAGCTGCATCCATGCTTTCAAATTAAAAGGGGCTACAATAAAAGAGCTTAGCTGATGAAGTGGTAACACTCTAGGAACAGTTTAGAGTGATTTTACAATGCATGTTCTTAGTATTGTATTTCCTTCCTTTGCTGCATTTTGTACTTCATCCTCACACAGGTGGAGAACAATTTCCTGTTCACAAGCCTTAGCAACTGACTAGGACCTTGGAGAATAAATTACTGTCTTTAAGTTCCCAGCAGAGGAGGAATACTGTTCCATGTCAGGTGCCAGAGTTCTCACACACGGTGATCTACGTGGAGCAATACAGCCCACAGTAGATTTTTCTGCTTAGATGCTTAGGAACTTCCATTTTTGTTCTCATATGAATTCTTCCCACCCCTTCTCCCTCTCTTCCCACACACAAACTGAAAATGAAAAACAGAAGATGTCGGGTTTTGACAGATGCTTTACTGCAAGTTATATGTATTTATTAAGCTCTTTCTGTCTAATTTATACAAACTCTGGGAAATGATTGTGTATTAGATAGCATTTCTGTGCACACTTGTAAGGAAGATTATCCAGTGAAAATCTGCCTATTATAGACACACATTAATGAAATTTGGATTTAATTAAAACAGTATGAATGGAATTCATATTATTAAATCTGGACATCTCCATTGCAGACATAATGTCTAGACTGTCCTTAGAGGCAACAGAAAGAATTAGGAGCTGCTAGAATTCAATGTACTGCATTCTAGGGTAGGCATCTACCTGAGAACAAGATTCATTTAACCCCTGCCAACTTAGAGGCTACAAAAAGTGAACATTTTTGTAGCTTTAATGTTTATGTATGGCAGCATGTCTGACCAAGATGCAGTGGATCAGATAAAAACTCTAAGTAATCCAAGAGCCTATTTCCAACTGTGTGAGATGCAGAAACAGGTAATGAAAAAGTCAAAATCTGTGCCTGAGGCCTCAGCCACAGCTGAGCAAATAATGAAGGAACTGTAAGGGGGAGCTGAGGACACTTTTGGCTTCAGAATGATCTCGAAAGACATATGCATGGCAGCACAGGCTGGAGACAACTTAATGAGGGTAATGATGTCAAGGAGGAACTGGGTGCCACCAACACCATGGAAACATACTACGAGTACATCTAGGTCAAAAAGGACTTCTAGATGCCATCAAACCCATCCTCTAGATCAAAACCATAATACCTTCAAAATTAGATCATGTGGTTGATCAGTCTTATCATAGCATAGTCATCAGGCTGCTGCAGGTGAAACAGGGCAAGGATGAGAGAAAGTCACCACCAGAAAACCCCTGGGCTACATCCATGTGCACATCCACTGTAATGACCAGCAGATGCAGGAAAACATGCATGGAGGCATGGGGCAACCGTGCAAAACACAGGTACAGCTGCACCAGTGCAACCACCAAACCCAAAGGGGAGCTCTGACCAAGGCTGGAGCCCCTGAGAGTTGGCAAGGAGAAAGGCTCACAGGCACATGTTCTGCTTCAGGTACTGCAAACAGGAGATAAGATCCTGCTCCCCATCAACACCTCTTCCAAAACTGCAAAGCAGTGGCAGATGTCGAGGCAAGTACAGGAACAAGCTGCAAATACAGTGATCCTTTCTAAGACAAGAGCTGGCCATTTGTGTATAGAGCATGATTGTTGATATGTACCATAAATAATTCTTGGATTGAAATGAAGATTAGCCAAGTCCAAGAGACATGGACGCTTGTATTCTTTGATTGTGAGACCTTAGAAGCAAAACAATTCTGAGAAATCCATGTAGACCACACTAAATGTGGTATTGGGTTTTGTAAAAGTTTGTCTTGTAGTTTATTTCTGCTGTTACCTTGGATCATTGATATATAAACAGGTTTACATTAGATTAAGTGTAGTATTCATTGTCTGTATAGAGTATCCATCTTCTAATTTATTCACAGAAAACAGGTCACTTGGAAAAAAAAATTGATTACATAAAGTTTATGACAATAGCAGCATAAGCTTGAAGGGAGTATTTAGTCAGGGGATATTATAAACTGGAAGAAGAAATCAATGTAGCAAATGTTAACAATATGTTTTTCCTGTATAATTATATCCTGTATATTTACTTTGTATTTATTCTTTAGATTTTGAAATTGAAACTGTGGAAAGAATGACTGAGAACATGAGTTCTATTAATTTGGTTTTAAGTATTGAAAAATATCAGAAAACTAAATAAAAAGTAAAAATTTTGTAAATCATTTCAGTCGGGGCTGTCAGCTGAAACAATAACCATATATTAAATATAATATCTGTTATTCTTCATGAAATAAGAAGAAAAAATATTGAAGTTCAGAAAGATTAAAAGACTGAATTTTAGCACTTTGTTTGTAAACATTCTTTCAATTATAAAAATTGAAAATTATTTTGGTGAAAGGTTTACCTTGTTTCAGAGATTATCCAGAAGAGTCACAGTTCTCTCAGGAGATAATTACTGATGAGTAATATTACAATATTATTTTACAATATTATTTTACAATAATTCTTTATAGTAATCTGATTTTATTTGGGACATTAAAATATTAATGCCATAATTAATAAAATAAATATATGTTGTTTCATAAGGGAGAATGTGATAAAATTCTACCATTGTAATTTTATTCTTTTCATTAATGTAATTTTTTACAGATACACATTGCATGACACAGTAAATGGAGATTTAAGAACGATGGCATAAACAATGTTTAAGTGATTTTTGTGTTTAATGAAATTCTGCTAGTAGTGCTAGTCTATTGCAGAATAAATGAGAATTTGAGTACATGGGCTTGACCGTGATGTTCAATGTCTGTTTATAAAGTGGAGATCAATAATCTCACGCAGATTTATCAAAATATTGGAGTCCAGGAGCCGGAGGCACTTGGCACTTTCCTGAATGAAATGTACTCTGTGTCTCAACCTAACAGATACAAGTATAATAAGAAAATTCTGTGTTTCAGTAATACTAATCTTGTTTCAGAAAGAAAACAGCACGTGTGATCACATTTCCTTATTTAAAACCTTAATGAATAGCATTTGGTAACTTTCAGCTCGATGGCATTAAGGCAGGTGTGTGTGGGAATGCAGCAGAGAGGCTCTTAGGAGCATATTGCAGGAAAGGTATGGGGAGAATGATGGGCAAACATCACACCTTGTTACAACATGCCAGTCAGAAAAAGAAAGAAATCGAAGTAAAAAAATAGTTCCGTGGTCCCAGGTAGAATGATGTATAAATATATAGAAAGATATATAGACATATAGAAATATATAGAGATATATAGAAAGATATAGGTTATGTTTATTCTACAAATAAAAAGTGAAAGAAAAACAAAACACCAAACCCAAACCAAGAAGATCTGTGCATGATGGAATGAAGGCAAGCATCAGTATGCTTTTCTGTCTGGAGCCTCAAAAGTCTAATAAATGTCAAGCAATTCTGCTTTCCCTTAATAAAAAGGTATTAACAGAGATACCATCTACAGTGCAGACGCCTGTTTTCATGAAATTTGTAGGAGTTTAGTAACTTTAAGACTTGCCAATGGGTTTAAAATTAAGCAGGCTGTAGAAATACAGTAAGGGAAAAAACAAGCACAGCAGGAACAATTAAGCCTTCAAGCTAAAAATGACGATCATGTAATGCAAGTGGGTATTATGGAAGATGACATTTTGTCAGGTTATTTAAAGTGTAAACACTATTACAAGCTATGCCTGGTACCACAGAGGATGACAATAAAAATCACAAGGCACTCCAAAATTTCTCCCCGATATCTTTCTCATGAAAGCATGGGCTGACATAAGTTTCAGCTGCGTGGGAGGCAAACCTATTCAGCAGAAATATGGTTTCCTGAACATGCCAGTTTCCACCCTCTGTCATCCACTAAGCTAAATTTATCAGGAGCACTGTGGTCAGAACTACAGAATTGCAGAGCTGACTAGAGGGAAGTTTGGTCAGATATAACTATCAAGGTTAATGATAAAAATATCTTTAAAAAATAAGTGTATATACTGGTGTGTCACATAGCTGAATCACATGCTGAGCTGATATTCAAATCCATGATTCATGATCACTCTTGATTTAGTTCGATATGTTTCTAATTTTATAAAGATTTTCTTTTGCTTCTGCATCTTGGAACACTAAAAGAGTCAGTTAAAACCCCTTTCCAATGCAAAATTACAGAAATATTTAAGTCATCATTTCTCAAATAATGGACATCAAATTATGATTCCCAAACCTAAAGGATCTGGATTTGATTAAATATTTTATTAACATACTGGAATTTGAAATCTACAAATGTAAAACGAATTCACAGTTATAATTATCAATCTTTTTCTGCACCCACAGGAATGACAGAAGACTAGATATAATTATGGTTTACTTATGTACGGATTCCATTTTTAATATAAATTTACTTTCTATTGTTTTAGTAAGAGTTATTCTGTGATGAGTTACTAATTCATATTGCAAATACTACATCATCATGACACACTTCCAGATTTTATAACAAATCTTTAGGCAAAGAGTTACAATCACTATTGATCCTGCTTTGTGTTTATGTTTTCAAGGAGCTACATAATTTCTCCATGTCTTCTGCTGCTACACCGTAGAGAGGATTCAGAAAAGAAGTAGCATTCACATTTTCATTAAATGGATACTAAAAGAAAAAAGATATAATGAAATTTAAAATCCAAGTGATCAAATTATTTTTTAAAAATGTACATACAAAAGACAGTAAATTCATTATAGAAGTAACATATTAAAGAAAACTATAAAATCTCTAAACATTTTTAGACCAGACTTTCAGCTGAATAAAGTTAGCATAGCTCCACAAAAACAATGACATACCACATGCACCTGATCAAGTCATTTAACCTACTTCTGCATCTGTTTCCACCTTTCTTTTTCCTTGTCTTCAGAGCCCTTGCTCTAATATTAATTTAGTATTATTTTAGGCAATCTGTGTACAATTGTGTAGTTGCAGTGATTTTGGTACATGGCATTTTAATTTACTTTTATTCAAGGAAATGGTTATAATTTCCTTGAATGAAAAATGTATGAGAATATAGGTAATATGAACCCTTCAGGTGAGGATTTCAGTAATTCTAAACATTTTCTTCAGCATCTGCCCAGACTGAAACTTATTGAATTAGTGTATGGTGTAACAAGTAGCTATAATTTTTATTATGATGTCCTTGCCGACCAATTCAGCCCTGGTCATCTTTCTCAGATTTCCAGAGGTACTAACAGTATAGGTAGCAATACGCCGTTGACTTTAAGTGACATTTCCCCCTTTCCTCAGCAAATGAATTTCCTTTACTAGCCCAACACACATGCTAGAAATGTATTATTACATACCTCATGCCATGGAGAAACACTGATTTGAACAGCAGATGAGGTGGCATACCCAGGAGACTATAAAAAGAAAAAAAACTGCTTCAGAATATTTTTAGTGAGCTGAAAATAATATATTCCGCCATGTGGTGCCTGGGTAATGCACTGTATGGATCCAAAATTACGAGGCAGTATTATGAGCAAGAGTGTAGCTGTGCTAAGCCCACATGGTTTTGGTGTTCAGGAAGGTTCAGAACTGCTCTTTATGAAGCTCAGAGACTCCCACAAGGGCAGAACTTGTGAGTGTTCAGCTGAAGACAAGAGCTTTGCTCACATTTTTTCCTCTCTTTTGATTGATGATACACCATTCAGATTTAAGTCTCATCAGACTTGCAGAAAACTCATAATGCCTGTTTTCTTTTAAAAATAAGAATTAGTGTAAACATGTATTTTCCCAGTCTTAGAGAAAATAGAGGAAACTCTGGTGCATGGCTGGACTTCAATCACAATGCCTGGGGCTGTCTTCCATGAAAATGTCTCTCCTGACTCTGTGCTTCTCTTTTTCAACTTGCTATTAAATGAAGCCTGTCAGGAATCTATTTTAACTAAAATAAAAATGTCCTGATGAATTGGACATGATTGTGATGGGAATGTTTCCAACTTGGAGCTCTCACACGCTCCAACCTCTAAGTGAATTCATTTGATCTAATGTCTCTAAAATCAGGTGTAAGGACCTTTTTACAGAAAGTAAATGGCATGTCATAGTTAATCCTATTCAAAGCTGCAGTGGAATCTTATATTATTGACTGTGCAAAGGACAGTTTTATTTAAAAGGAAGTTTTATTTTCCATTTCAAACCAAGCCTAGCTCTTCTAGGTAGTAGTATAATAATATAGGGTATATATAAGGATAGTATCAAAATGAGGGCAAGAAGCACATTTAAAATATTTTTTTTGGCTTTTTTCTTTCTACTCCAAGCTTCCTTGTTTATACTATTTATAATTATAAACAAAATATCATAGATACCTTCAGTTTAATTCAATCATTTATTTCTTGTTAAATGTAAGACATGAATTTTATTTATCATTATAATTTGATAATTAAATCTTGCCTTTAATTATTTTGCTGCACTATGTTCACTTTTATATATATATTTTATTCAAAAATTTATTTGTTACTCTATCAGTCTCTTAATTCTGATCAGCAAATGGTACTAGGGAAATGTGTGGCGAATTGCTTGTTTAGTGTCAAGGTGAATTTTACCATGATGGGAATTGTGATGTACGTTTAAAGTACTGGGAATGATTATAAACCGTTTTATTGAAGTTAAGTGAGTGTGCAAAGGAACTTGGCTGCCAAATCATCCATTTTGTGTTTTCATTGTTGTTGATGTGTTTCTGTTGTCGTGTGTTTGCTTTGTTGGATTTTTTTTTTGTGGTTTTTTGTTTGTTTGTTTTCCAGATATAAAAGAAGACAAGTCCCAGTGAGCTTCTTATCTATGTATGGGTAAATATTTAACCCAAAACACTTTTTCCTCCAAATCATCAGCCCATAGTCATAATAATTATAAACACTGAGATGATGTCAAAACTGAGCTGATTTCAAATATTACTGTTTTGAAAATGCACTGGAACTGATCTGAGTACTGAGTCAATTTTTAATTCTCACTTCTTTTATTAAATAGCATACACTGAGAGATTACATTCTTTTAATGGAAAACTTTTTGAGGACTACAGCCTCACATTTTTCTGAACATATAGAGGCAGCTTACCTTTTCTTTCCCAGATGAACTGAGGTCTTTGTACAATGGATTGGCAAATGAAGAAATAGCAGTTTCCTGCACTTTCCTTGAAAAGTCAAACAAAAAAAAAAAGAAAAACACCTACAATATCAGACAGGTTGTTAAATAACCAAACAGATTAAAGCTGAAAAGACTGGAGTCCAAAATAATAGGTAAAATAGGTGGCTAAATTTGTTTACAACTGGGCTCTACTGAAATAAATGAAATTAAACCAATATTCTAGATAAATGATGTCTAGGTTAAAATAATAATTTTTCATCTGTTCCTTCTAAAAATATATATGCTTCTGGATGGGTGGAGAACTATTTACTAATTATAAAATGCAGGTATAGTGTTATACATGAAATAAAACATGTTATTACCTCTAAAGTCACATTCCTATAATTTGTTTGCATGAGATGAGATCATGTTCTTCCTGTGTTTTGCTATCACACTGACAACTCAGTAATTAACACGGTCTTAGGCTCCAAGTTCAAGAAGGCCTCTAGTTATTCAATTGTTATAAGTGCTCCACTTTTCTAATTAATTGGGAAAGAACTTGCGTTTTTGGTCAAAATCATCAGCATCAGTTTTAAAGCTATACAAGCTACCCATACCTTTTGCTACAAAGCCATGAATAAATAATCACTTGAGGTATTGAAATGCAAAATTTTCATTAATTAACACAATGCCTTAAACAATTTATAATAGATTAAGAGAACCAATTTTGCTATTTATAGCTCTCATATCCATTACTTCATCTGGAGGTTTAAAGATATGCTTTCCTGATAGAAGTCTTCACATATCCTGGTTTTTTTTGGAAGCACTGATCACCTGTGCTGTTAATCTCATTAATTCTGCAAAAGCAGAATGGGGGTAGAATTTGCAGCTGGGATCTAAATTTTTTTTCCCATATAAATGACTTGTTAATAGTCCACAATGCTTGAAATCACAGAATCGTGGAATCCTTTATGTTGGAAGAGACTGTAAGATCACTGAGCCCAGTGTTTGACTGATCACTGCCTTGTCAGCTGGACTAAGTGCCACGTCCAGTCCCTTCCACCTCCAGGTTTGGTGACTCCACCTCCACTGGCAGTCTGTTCCAACAGCCCTTTCAGTGAGGAAATTCTTCCTGATGTCCAGCCTGTGTCCCCTGCCACAGCTTGAGACCATATCCTCTTGTCCTGTCACTTGCTGGGAGAAGGGACTGACCCTCACCTGGCCACAGCCTCCTACCTCAGGTAGGTCAGACAGCAGTAAGGTCTCCCCAGTCCTTCTTTTCTCCAGATGAAACACTTCCCACTCCCTCAGTTTCTCCTCTGAGAAGACAGGACTTAATCTCTAGACCCTTCACCAGCTTTGTTGCTCTGGACTCTCTCCAGCACCTCAATGTCTTTGTTGTAGTGAGAGGCCCAGAATCATCAAAGCTGTTCTAATACTATATAAAAAGCAACAGATGTATTAGTTAAAATTACCAAAGAATGAAGCAGAAGCTAATCTTTGCATTTGAAGATATATATTTAGGGTTTTTTTGTTTTTTTCCACAGTTTTTATGAATAAGAGCATATGCCCTGTGTAGAAATAGAAATCTGCATGTACAGTATTCTAAGACAAAAATTTTCCCTAAAGCTTCCTATCAATCTTGATGATGGAGAAATAAATTCTGCTGTGTTAAAAAGTGTTTTTGTTCCAAAGCTGCTCCTACAGGTGGTTGAAGTCATGTCTCCCTAGAATCTGAGAGACAGGCTCTGTGTTGCTGTGGTAGGCAGGACTGAGGGGACAAGAGCAGTCACAGGAGCACAGCCCATTGAGATTTTGGGAAGTGAAACGATTCCTCAGTGGGAACCACAGAGGAGACACATTGAATCATTTCTGTTGCAGATAGCTAAAACCAGAATGTCTGCTTGGGAGGAAGACACAAGTAAAGCACAGAAATATTCTACCTTATGAATTAAATCAGTGCAAGAAACTAAGTTTGGGTTTTAGACTAAACTAGACATGTCTCCCTAAATTTTTTCACAAAACTGTCAGAAAGTAATTGCTTCTAATGCCAGTCTCATAATTTATTTTGATTACCTGACACAACAATGGGAAGAGCTGAATATTTGAACCTGTTAATTTTTTCATTCGATCTAATCTTAACTGTAATAAATCATGATATTCTGATTAATTTAGCTTGCTTAGTGAAGCAATGACAGATTATTTATATGCCTACTAAGTGTATATTTGCATCCCAGTCCTCCTGAATAAAGTCCAGAAAATGTGTACAAAATTTATTTTTTACTTTAAAAGGAAAGCATGGCTCACAAAATCTGAGGCCAGAAGGAAACTCAGATGACAAGTTTTAAAAGTTTTCTTTGCTTCTAAACTAGTGCTCAAAGGGACAGACTTGGATCTCTTAATTTTGGTGCCTCATTTTGACATCACAAACCAACTGTATGGCCTAAAAGCATGATATGGAATTAAGTAAATCAGTTCTGCTTAGAGTCAGTCGAGACACTTCCAGAGGACAACACATGTCACACAATTCTCAGAGTGAACCACCCTGACTGTGCCAATGGCAAATGGTAAGGATAGGGATAGGTCTGATTTTCTTTCATCACTCCATTAAACTTGAGCAGTTTATACACAGCTTATTTGGGCAAGAACATGTGGACTATTTAGGTCTGTCCTGAGAGCAGGAGGGTGCAGAACACAGATCTCCAGCTTCCTCTGCAAGGGAGAGAACTGACCAGAAGGATATTGTGCCAAACTGAGGGCACCAAACAGAGTGCTGGCCAAGCTCTTCAGCAATGTTTGTGCCTGCTGTGCTTGCTGCTAAACTCGGTCCTGTCTATGGCTCAAGCAATAAAATTGAGTCCAGCAGATTTCAGGTGTCCTCCCACACTAGATCTGAATCATGAAAAGCATATGTATTGGTCACTGAATCTTAGGGATAAAGGGAATTTTATGGCCCAAAATATGGGCACTGCTTGAATTTATGCACCAGAAACTTAGGTGGAAAATGGACTTTATGAAGTTCTCTCTTGTTCTTAGGAAAATTTTTGTCAAAGTAGAGCTTTGAAAGTCACCTTGAATATACTACCTTATGTAACTTATCCTACACATGCATAAAACATATATAAACACATAGATGCATATATATGAATATGTTTATGCAAACATATATATGGCTACCCATTTGTGAATGCAGCAAGCAATTCTATCTAAGGGATATAAATGGATAGCCTTAAAATTTCTGAAGTATTTTCAAATGGCTTAAAAAGCCTAAAAGAATTTGCAAGTGAAAATTTAATCACCTTTACTCAAGTACCATAATCTATCAATTGGATGAGGTAGTAACTGCAGTAAAAAAA